AATAAACTGAACTCACCGTAGCTGATGTTCCCTCAGATGGGAGAGGACGTCCATGTGGTAAAGGTGGCAGTAGATTGTGTGCAGGTCCTGTTGGAGCATAAAGAATATTGAGGCGTTATTACTTGGGGGGGAATAAAATTAATGAATATATATTACGATATTGAATATAACCAAACCAAGTTGAGAGAATCGTCTCTGAAATGATGCCGGCTGCCTTTAACATCCTCAAACCGCTGCTCTGCTGTTTGAAATTCGAAAAGCGAAAGCTCCTTGTTTACAGCGAGCGTCTCTGCGCGGTGTGAATCACATCGGATGCTCTGAGGTGACAGAAGCCACTTGGCCTTCTGGCCGACGCTGCCCGTCAAGCTGACGGCCTCAAAGCGGACAGGACGGGCACGCCACTTACCAGCTCAGATCTACCCATCCGCCCCCTTAAAATAATCCTCTATCAGGGCCAGCTGTCAAAACATTTAGAGGATGGCAGAGTGTGCGTGGAGGGAAGGGCTCGGTGTGTTTAGCTCTAGCATACGCGGGCTGCTTTTGACAGGAGAACTCCATGGCAAAGGCACTCAAAACACACACCGTTTCCACCTAAAGTCAACAAGAAACAGCTTAACAACAAGAGAGCGTTCTGAAATAAGGCTCAGAGCTAAAGGTTTCATTAAAATGCACAGAGACAGGGGTCAGCCAAGGCCAGCTGCTATGTCTGCCCCTTTCCTGTCAGTAAATCAGTGTTTAAAGGAATATTTTTATGTTCTTTCTGAATCTAAATCTGAAAGAAAGGATTGTACAGAAAAAGATTTGACACCAGCCCTTGGGAATAAGTTCAGCTGAATTTCTAAATGATATTTGACTCTTTGAGATCCACGTCAAAGGCGAACAAACATGAAGTTTAAAAATATTTTTTTTAAAAGAGTAAAAACGAGCAGGCTTGTAACTGAAGAAGGAAAAAGGCCTGAAGAGAATAAGTACAAAGATCAAGGCCTGCTTGCTTATGGCAGCATAAAGGTGAGCCTGTTTCTCTTCTCATGTATGTCTGCTGTAGAGTAAGAACGTGTATGGCTTTTCTTTTACATGTCTTTGTCTAAATGGAGTGTCTTTAAAGAGTCCCAATTGTATCTGTGGGGGAAAAAAGGGCTCTACTGAGGTAGCACCAGACATTCCAGGGCACACTGAGGTTTCTCTGTCCACACCCTGGTGGGTCAGAGCTCTTTTGGCTGCTCGAAGCAGCTTCCACTCCACTCCGTTATAATAATAAGACTGAAGGATGCTGGTCCTGTTCAAATGAAGAGGTCTGCTTCGAACGGACAGCTAGAAACAACTGCTACAATAAACCAAATGGCGTGGCTGTCTGGCCGTCGTTTCCCCTCGGGATCATCCGGAATAATCAGCTACTGTTCGGGGGAAAAGTATACTAACAAATCCCAAACAGCTGCTCTCCTTTGCTCCAAAACTAATAAATCTAGAAGAGGGGAAAAAAAACTGCCGATTAGATAAAGTTGTAATGAAGAGTGAGGGGACGCAGGCTGGTGCCACGGCTCCATAAATCTGATCGGTGACTCACAGGAGGAGTTATCGTGGCGGCCGAACAAGATGCGAGGAACGGAGAAGCCAGTTACGCAAGAGAGTAAAAACTGTTTTTGGTTTTTGTTTTTTTTGGGGGGGGAATGTGGAGCGTTTGGTGCCATGGCCCGACTCGCAAGAGGGCAAGAGGAGAGAGGAGGCCGAGAGGGAGTGACAGAGAGCAGCCAGAGAGAGGAAAACATCCAGGAGGGGGAGGGAGGGGGGGAGGGAGGGAGGGGGGGTGAGGAAACATATCAGGTGAATTCCTGTTTGCCAAAGTAGCTCCTTTCATGTTTTTTTTTAGCAGACTGAAGCCCATTATGGGCATGTTCCCATCACATCCGGTATTTTTTATTCTTAATCACAAACAAGTAGAGCCTTGGTCTTTCAACACCGCATGGGGGGGGTAGCTGTTAGCATTAGGGTCATCTGGCCTGCTGGGTGGGGAGTCCCTGAATCACACGCCTTCCTGCACAACCCCCGATATCCCGATCTGACCGGTTTTGGTTATTGGGTCGAGTCTGTGCCTCTGGCTTTTTTCTTTTTTTTTTTTTTCCAGGCATTTATCAGATGATTCTGGCTTCACCGTCGACATCCCAACAGACATTTGACGCTAAGAGAAGCTGTAGAAATGAATCTACTCCACCAAAATCAAGCAGTGATGCTGTTCCGACAGGAAGAGGCAGAGAGGGCTCTTAGATCAGGTGTTTGCTGCTCCGAAAACCGACTACACATCATTCAAGTTCAACTCAAACGTCCTTTTTTTTTGGCGTTACAGGAAGAGTTGTAGCCTGCTTTGCAGCCGTGAGGACTATGAAGTGAACAGACTTCAAGCCCCTGTTAACTGGGTTAGTGAACACAGCAAACTGCTGCAGTCAGCACTCCTGTCGTGCTGCTGAGCGTGCGCGTGCACGTTGGAGCACACGGCCCCCCCGAGGCAGAACCCGGCACGGGCCGCTCCGTCCCCCGCTTGTTACAGATAGTTCCGGGGTTATTTCAAAACACTTAAACGCCTCGTACTAAAAAGACATTTTTTAAAAAAGGAGCGCTCGCAAGAACGCGAGAACCGTGAAGGCGAATTTAAGAGCTCGGGGCACGCAGTCCAGGGGATTTTACAACTACTACTGACAGGCGCACCCACAACACCGACTGGCCCCGTTTTCAGTATTGATCGAGGGGAAAAGCAGGTCATCGGCGGGCCCAGACACACAACAGGAAGTCTGAGGATGGCGAGCTCTTCTGCAGGCTCCCCTGACACGGTCGCTGCACAGCCCGCTCCGATCTCAGCGTCCGGCCCCTCCTGACCAACACACGCTGGGATCTGAAAGCAGGGAATAGCACTGGAATGGATGCTTTATTAATCCCCAAGGAAATTTAAGCAGTTTGTGGTCATTGCATCTTTATATTCTAATCCAAAAAGGTGTCATAAATCCCTACTTACATTAACAAATGGCTTAGGAATGAACAAAGACTGTCACGAGACTGACCTGGCTGTTACAGATGCAGACATCATGCTCTACAGATTGTAATCGACTTGTTTTTTATTCATTTAAAACTTTATGTTTGTGTTAGCTCGACTAAAACAAACCACTTCAGATCCCTTGGCATCTAAAACATTCTGGCATTCGTGGTCATCACAACTAAACGGGCTCATCTCCATCTCCTGACGGCCTGATGTCGCCGACTTCTGACCTCCGCTCTGTCCTCCCCCGGAGACTAATGATGCGGTTAACGGCCTTATCTGCGATTAGGACGCCAGAAACCCCCCCGGAGAGACCTCCTTTAAAATGTCGCGAGCTGAGATCGCTTTCAATTAAAGTCGTGGGGTTAGAGGCTGGAAAAGCGCTCGACTGGTTGCCCTGGAGGTTTCCACACTTACTGCCGTGGGCCCAGTCGAATCCTCGTTCAGGCCGTTTCTGATCAGAAATATAAGCGAGCATTGACAGTTGTCTTTCCAAAACTAAACAACGGCGGAGCGTTCCTCTGTCTGTACCACCCGTATGCACCTACTGGATCCATTTCTTTACAGGGAGCAGACATCCTAACACCAGAAGCCCTGAGGTGAGCCTGTTGTGTTGCTCTGTGTGTGTGTGTTTGTGCGTTTGTGAGTGACTGAGCGACTCAGGTAAAAACTACAATGCTGCTGCCACCTTCTGGCAGACGCGCGGCTCTGAGTGTCCGGCAGATGTTCCCGGCCTGCCAGCAGACATGCGCACGCCCTGTGTGAGGGGATGGGTTACATTTACTCACCGGGCGAGCACACGTGGGGAGGATGTGTCAGCACTAATGGATCTGGACCTTGACTCCTTACGTTTGACGTACGGATACAGTTTGATGCATGCGTTAGCAGCCAGGACGGATCCTGTAATTACTCATTCATGGACAAGTTGTGGCAGCACACAACAGCTACTCATACAAAAGCATGTCGCGGCATAACGCGGCAGAGATTGGCCTCCCACCCACCGCATTTCTTTTCTTTTTCCATCCACAGTCAGCACATTGATAGACACATTTTGATAAAAAAGGCACTCCTGTGCGAGAGGGAAAATATTCATTTGGAGTTTTGCCGTACAATGAACAGATAACCCACACACGCCTCCACCAGAATGTACAGTATGCCAGCCCAGTCTGTCGCTGACACAGAGGGGGGGATTGTCGACGGGCGACACAGCGCGTCCATTCAGGTTGGAAGAACAAACAGCTTAGCTGACATCCTGCCTTTCTAACCGGCGTTGAATGGTTTCATCACACTGAACTACTATATCTCAAAATGCCAAAAAGCTACAGACAAAAACACTTAATTCTAAAAACAAAAAGAAAAAAAAAAGACATTTCACATGTGGGGAAAGTACTAATAAAGGCCGTAAATCAAAAGTAGAAATGGCTCCCAAAGATAAATTCATAAAGATTTGCTCATAAATCGGTTTTATATCCCCGACAAGGAAATGGTAAACGCATAAAAATATTGAAAAGACGTTTTCAAAGAGACACCATTTCTCCAAATGCTCTGCTCATCTCTACTGGAACACTCTGCTTCCCATAGGTGCTCTTTAAACACGAAATCATGTCACTGACCTGTTGATAATGAGCGGCAGTTTCATTTGTCTTGTGTTGTTTTTCTATGAAAAACGGGGGGGGGGAAATCCAACATGAGCTTGCTTTTTTTTTTTTCTTAATGGGGCTGTACTGAGGCTGCCATGGTTTAAACCCAAGTGCTGTACATGCAATGCCAGCAGTGATCCTTTCTGTGTCGTAACCCCAGACGGGATCGTTCTCCACACAACGCACAATCCCTCCCTCCAGCATGCAGCTAAGCCCCAGTCGCAGTGAGCGTCGGTGTGAGGTCTCAAGTCCACAATTAAATCCTCTCTTTTACCTCACACTGCACTCAGAAATGTTTTTCCAGCAACAAAGCCAGGATAGAGAGAGAGAGGGAGGGGGGTTAAAACACAGAAGGCTTTAGAGCTGTAACCACAAAGGGATTGAGCTCAGACAAACACACGTGAACTTGAAGCGAATCGCCTGGGAGGACGGGCCGACACCGAAGAAACGCCGAAGAGCCAACGCCGCGCAGTGACCACCGGCCAGTTCCCACACTGTAAAAGCTTTTGGGCTGGTTTCGTAAAAAAAAAATGTAAAAAAACCCCAGTGACGACAGCCGTGGTGAGAGGAGAGCGAGAGGAAAAAGGGAAGGCTTGAGTCACTGCGTGAGGAGAAAGGCCTGGGTTACTATGCCAGGATAAAACATTTTTAAAAGGACAACCCTTAAAAAACGCTGGACGGGCAGGAAAGGAGACGATAGAAATAAATAGCTCAACAGCTTTACACGCCGATTCATTTAAAAAAAAAAAGCCAGATTCTCACTTTTGCAAGGTGAAATCTTGTGCCCGAGCTTGAAGTTCTGGAAAATGGGACCCCTCGTGCCATCTCGGCTCCCATTTTTGGAGCTGAAGGGAGCAGTTTCCAAACGTTCTTACGTCTTAAGGGTGAAAAGATAAAAAGAATCCTGGTTTTTAAGTATAGTCAGTGTTGCTTTGCCATTCCTACTGACTGTAATGTAGCTCTACGGCCTTTAAAAATGATGACTATCTTACACAGAAGTTAAACTGTCTTTTCCTCCCCTTCTCCCCCCCGTTACTCATCTATCATGTCCGGCTCACGGGAGCTTCCCTCTGCTCGTCTGTTAATACCATTTCACGCTTCGTTTTCATTACTCCGGCCACCAGTTTTAAGAGCCTGGCGCTCTGAGCTAAAGAGCTTTTTCATCACCTGAGGTTTAAAAAGTCATCCGTCGTCTCCCTCCATTACCCCTCTGCAAACTTTCGGCCGGTCACAGAGAAGGACGGCTTGGCGGCCAGAGAGAGAGAGAGACAGAGAGAGAGGGAGAGGAGGTTGGAGAAGACCACACAGAGAGCTCTGAGAGAGATGTTTTCTTTCCGATCTGCTTGGGTGATGTTTCATTGAGGACTCGGACATTTAAGGAGACCAGGTGAAGAAGGGAAGCATGGTGGCTTTGGTGGAGGCCTTAAAGTTTCCATAGCCAATAGAGAAGGTGGAGGGTGGGGGGGGAGGGGTGTGAAGGGAGCAGATTGTTAGCGGCTCGGCCGCAGATTGGAGCAGAAGCCCGACAGTCCACAGAGGGTTATACAACAGCCAGAACGTGGGGGCAGTGTCAGGCCCTGGCATGAGGTTGGAATATATTTACATGGGAAACAACGAGGCGCGTTTTTTGCTGAATCGGCACGTCGGCCGTCCAGCTGCCTGACTCTGACACACCAAACGCACACCAGCCGGTCAAGGGCTTCTTATCAGCGCGCGCGTAGCCGGTTTACAGCAGTCTATCAGATATAAAGCTGAGCTCCCCCACAGAGCAAACACTTTCTCTGACTCACTCAGCTCTGAGCTCATGAAATGTTGTGGGGGGTTTTTTTTGTTTTTTTTACTGATTTTCTACCCTAATAGCAGTCAAATAGAGGAGGCTAACACAGTATAGACAACTCCGCTCAGGAGGAAATCGAACTATAGAGGAGCCTCTGGGAAAACTTTCTAGTGGAAACAAAATTTGAGGTCAATTTACAGGCCCAGGTGGTACTTTTTTTTTTTCTCTCTGTGATACTAGTTTCTACAGAAGCGCATTGCAATGGAAAAAAAACAAAATTAAACACTTCATCACCTCTACAAAATGAGGGAAGTCGCCATACTGGACACTGCTTCACTAAGCTGCACATCCATGAAGGACATTCATACGTCTATGAGTAAATTAAAAACCTTATTTATGACGTTTATTTACAACTGTGGACGTTTTGTAATGTGGCGTCGTTACCGTGGCAACAGAAAAGCCGACACGGTTGAAGTGCATGGTAGAGTTGTTGTTATTGTTTTTATGCTAGCATGAAATCTGAACTCGGAACTTCTCGTGAAAGCTTGATAAAGCTTTAAATGGATCGGATCCCGGATGTCCTGGGATGTTGTGGCCTCGTCGCACCCAGATGCTGCTCTGCACCGAGGGCATTTTCGTTGTCATTTGTTTGTTTGTTTGCTAATGGCCCGTACTGTAAAAGATCGCCGACATCGCTGCGGCTTAACCTCGCTTTAATGGCCTTAAAGGATTTGTGCGCAGCGCTCGTTTCCATTTGGAGGGGAATCCGCCGGCCTCCATCTGCTCCTCTGACAGGCCGAATATCTGCTCTGTAAGAGCACATTCCTGTAAACCTTTACCCTGAACACAACTGGGAAACGGGCCAGACCCGTAGCTACGAACTGGGCTGGGTGCAAACCTCCCCACGTTCAGCCGGAAGTTACTTCTGATGCAGACAAGCTATTTCTTTAGGAATTACATTGTATGAGGTTTCGTTTTTCCTCAGTGATGGATACGAGTGATGGATTATAGAAGGCCGTGCCTCAATCTTCATGGCTCATTCTGTGTTTGAGCTCCCCGGCCGGAGGGCCGCTCTCGCCCTGCACGGCCTGCGAAACGCTTCCACATACTTCATGCAAATCCGAGAGCAGCTTTGCATCTCCGCCGAATAGATGCGAGCTGGCGAGGAGGTGGGCGGGGCGTTCGGGAATCCGGCCGTCGCATTCCCGGCATTCCAGAGGCGAGCGGCGTGACTCTGTTATCAAACATTTCGGCGAAGGAGGGAACGAACCGGGGAAATTAGTCCCTAAGAACCGGAAACGGAGCTCTTGGGCCATCAACTCCAACTTGGAGCCAGAGCGTGAGGGATGGGATGGGTAAAAGCGCGTGGAATACTTGGATTTTATTGACTGAACCATCCTGTGCCTGTCTCTTCTGGGAAGTCTCCCCCAGGTGAATTCCGCACAAATTCCAACGGGGCCAGAATTTGCATTCAGGGGGCTTTCTGCTCGCGGTTCAAACATGCTGATGCCGTCAATAGGCCTCAGCAAAAGAAAAAAACTTTCGGGGGCCAGATGAGACCGGCCCACATTCCCGCGCCTTCGCCGGCTTTCCGAGCAACCCTGAGAGGAGGGAGGTTCCCTTCCAGCTCGGCTTCATTCTTGCAGGGGCCTGGAGGAGAACGGCCGGGCAGAAGGTGTCGGCGTCAGTCACCCAGACAAGAATGCAGCCGGAACCGGTCCGTGCTGCCACATTCTTCTTTTCTTCCCCCCCTGCGATAAAAGAACTGGGGTGAGATCTCTTGCCTCCGCCGGTGACAGCTGCTTTGCATGTCAAAACATCAGGCGAGCCGCTGCGGCGTGCGCTGAGGGCCGGAGAGGGAGGGCAATAAAAAAATGATAAAATGAACGATTAACGCCAAATCACTGCTTTCCTGCTACTGCAAACGGCTTCCGATTGTGCTGACACGCTCCTTGTTAACTCCAAAATAACAACTGCAGGAGTGTGCGTAATGTGCCGTGAAAACACTGCCCCCCCCCACCTCCGCCCGAGTTTCGGGGGGTTTGGGTTGAATGGAAAGCG